CTCCGGCAGACGAGAGACTTGTCGTCACGTTCTGTGATAATCGGGATGCCGTACTGTCCACAAAGGAGCGCTTTCCCTCGATCATTCGAATATAAAGTTATAAACATCCTCAAAATCAGCGTGAAACTCCGTGGCGCTCACCTAGAATGCCTCGAACGGCCCACAAAAGTAACGATTCAGGTATTTCTAGTTTGGAAAAAGTTTGGTGTCGATTGTCAGCACTGTTTACGGAAAGTCGCCAACAGCAAACGATGAGAAGCTGAAGATTTAATCAAGAAATAAAGTAATCGTCGCGCCTTTCACCGTGTTTGTCGGCGCGTTTTATGCCCAAAGAGCAAAACACGAAAACCGCGTCACCAGACTTTGTTTGTCTGTGTATTTTGAAGTGTTTTGTTGACAACTCCAGTCCCACTAGGAAACAAGTTTCCTTGCCCCCGTGTTCTGCGTCGTGTCCGCCCAGGTGGGACGGCGGACTCCGACAAACAGGCTGTCTGTCGGTGTCGTCTGTCGTTCGTTGTCGTGTGTCGCTGTCGTTTGTTGCTGTTTGTCGCTCTAGTGGGACGCGGCTATCACACTGTTTACAAATAGCACCTGCAATGAAGGTTTTAAAGTTTGATCAGTTGACTCAGCGTACAGAGCCAAAGACACTTAGACTTGTGAGAAATGCTATCAGTGCATTGATGCATCACCGTGATCTAAAGCTGGCTCATTCAGAGTGGGTTCGGAACTACAATAGCCCAGTTCCCAGTGGTGCTGGCTAGATTTGCATCTTTCAGGCTCCTTGTCAACCCCAGTGTCACACGTAGTCGCATACCAAGCCCTTCTATAGCGTTGCAGAGAAGTTTTGTGACCAAAAGCGTAATAAAGGACTATGCTACTAGTTGAGTCAACATTTGCTGTGCTGTTGGCAGTGGGTACGACTTCTGTTTCAAGACTGGATTAATGATGCGTTTATAACATACACATAGCCATATCACGCCGTTTGACTTCCCCACAGGTACAACTGGCGTAGCCCATGCAGATTTCTGCACCAAGGCAAAATTCCTTGTTGCACGAGTTGCGTGATGGTGTACTACTCCTTTGACTCATGGGCCAAAGGAACAAGTCGAGGCTTGTGGTACTTGGGTTTGAAGTTTAGATTTAGTGTGAATGTATGTGGGTCCGCCAAGTCCTTACTCGAAGACCCTTGGAAATACTTTTGGCAGTCCTTGAGTCTGTAGGAGTGGCTCGGCTAATTGAAGGACACCTTAAATAGTAGTGCTTTGTGTTGTGTTAGGCGGTAGACAAGAACAAGACCGTCCTTTCTCAAGCCTCGACAAAGAGTGTTTCAATTTGTCATCTTCTTGGACCCCCCCCTCTCTCTCTCTCCCCTTCTGAATGCGCAATAGACCTTTCCGCAAAAGACCTTGCAAAGGGAGGAATTGTGGGGCTCTTCGGATGTATGCTCGTGCCGGCTCGAATGCTTTGTATATCGTAGTAGTAGCACGATTCTCTTTCTCATCATTAGGAGCTCAGAACATGCTAAAAATTGAGTGAGTGGTAAAAAAAGTGGTCATCACACCCTCTGTTTTGCTCTCCCTCTGCCACGTCTTCGCTTTTTGGACAATTACCCGTACCATACATCTGGACGTCGCAGTGCATAAAGTAGACGCTGGGGGCATCACATATTTCCAGAAAGGTCTGTTGCCCACGCATCACGTAGCTTATCGAATATTTCAAACCGGTTTCCTTCAAGCAGGCTTGCTCCACGTCTTTTCACGGTCAGCAATGGTGGCTCACGCTCCTTTCCCTTGAACCGCGTGGAAAAATTGACACTTCCCAGAACCACCAACTTACATTGTGGATACGTTCGGAGAGCAGTTTAGGTTTAAGTCTCTGCTGCCGTTCCAAGCCGACACTATCTCTTTAGAACAATTGTTGACCAAGCCTCACCATCTATGCAGATAAAAATTTCATTTACTTGAACTTCGACGATTTCTACCTTGGTTCAAAGATCCCAGATGATGATTGGATTCCACTACCGGAGCGTGGTGCTTGGATTTGGCCAACTACTGACGGCACGCATGTATGGTGAGTCCCTTTCCACCACAGAAATGGCGTGTTTAAAATTATAGCTACTTGCATTGTGCGCAACATTTTCTAGCTGTACTCAAAGATGTCTTCCCTGCGCCAGGGCTGTGGCTTGGCATTGATGAACCGTTTCATGCCTTGTGTAGGTGGTGTTTGTCCATGTGGCGAACCTCTGCCGTCTCTGGAGCCCGGAAATGTGGGGTTTTCCGTTTGTCGCACACTCCGCAGCAATCGCAAGTTGTTCAGCCCTAGCGAAAGCGAGATCTGGTGTGGCGAGAAGGTGTCGCTAAATCGCTTCTTCACACACCCAACAAACTAACCGGTCACAAAACTTGTACGAAAACTATGTCTACTCGCAGTGCTGAGCGACACGACGCAGCACAGCAATGTAGTTGGGCACAGACTCCCCGGAAGCACTTGTCGAGTGTGAACCGGTGACTTGTTGCCAACGTCCTTAGCCCCAAGTCTCCTCAAAAGCGGAGTCAGAAAAAAGACGTTGAAAGAGGGGCGTACACAGAGGGTTGACATGCGCGGCAGAAGACTCCACGCTTCATGTCGTCCACGAACTCATCAGCCAACAAGTAGAATTAAGTCCAGCTGCTCTCTAACCTGTTTTCATTCTTCTGATGCTAATGCTGGGTGCCTCCCCTGTTGTTTATGCTCATATACACATGTTATGTACAAAAGCAGAGGTTACATCCATTCGAACTGTCTGGATTAATGAAAGGAAAAACACGGCTGCTCATCCGAACAGATACAATCAAACGTCTGCTCCGTGTCCAGGATTTTTGGGTGCAATTTTGAATCCGACACGAGTTCTTAAAACTAATTATTTTGCAGCCGTGTCAGTTTCGGGCTCAATTTCACATTTTGTCACATGCACACACAATTTCACAGGCACACAAGTGTGATGTAAAATTCCGACATGGTGCAAATTAAGTAAGAACAGAAGAGGTTTATTCATTGTTTACAATTGGTGTTTACAGCGAAAGGTGTCACACTTTAAGGCTGTTTCACTCACCTGCAAACTGCTTACGAAGGGAATGACTTCAAACCGATTTAAGCCTCTTGTGACTGACTGGTCAGCCACTGGTCATAAGCTGTTGCAAGTGTGTGAAGCTGCTTTTACATGAATAAGCTGTAGTAGCTTCCAAAGTTACAGCTTTCATGTGCCTTATACGTTTGAGGCGACATGCCCGTTTGCTTTACCCTAGGTCTCGAGAGAAACTATTATTACCATTTGGGAACTTCTTTTTGTACACGTAAACTGTTACCTTTCAGTGTGAACTTGCCATTTTGCAAGGGACTGAGGAAATAGCATTCTTTGAAACCAGCACTGCATTGCAACAATATATTTAATGTGGTGAAATAAAAACTTTTCGAGTTCAAAGTATGCACTCTTGTTTTTTCTCTTCATAGTTCCACTGGGCATGCCTATCGTCATACGAGTGTTTCTGACGGTACTAAGCTAATTTCTTTACCACTTCCCCAATTTGCGGTTCGAGCGTAGAGCAGCTTTTTCTTTTTTGGGTCGGGAGAGCCGCGGCACCGCTAGAAGGCAAGCACGAAGATCTGCGTCGCCGCGAGTAACGGTGATGCGATGACAACGTACAGGCGAAATAAAAATGCTGGCAATACTTCAAATTCAGCTTGTGGGTCGGCGTAAGCGTTCGTGACGACAGAGCATATTTTCGTGTCGAAAAAGGCAAGCGTTCATGCATGACATGGTTCACATCCGCCGCGTCGGCGACGAACCTGCGCGGCAAGAATAGCGGCGACATCGAGACCCGACGTTGGAAACCGAAGGCTCGACTTCGGAAACCAGCGGTAGGCGTTGGTAGTAACCTTGCTTCGCCCTTATCAAGCGACGAGTTGAGAACGCTAAGAGAAGTACTTGCGCCTTTTACGCACTCCTGTGCAGAAGCACGATGCGAGACGTCGCATACTGCGGGCGTCGCGTAGTTGCGTCACCAAGTGTTGAGTCCCTCGCGTCACCGCGTACACAGCGTCTCAGCCGCGACTGCGTCGATCACGTAGGCTTCCCGTCTCAAGCGTTTCTGGCTTCAGCCGCGACTGCACCGATGATCGACCGCGTACGATTCGTGCTTCAGGCGGCGGCGGGCGCCATGTTTACCTTGCCACAGCGGTGCGAGTGACGTCATGTCACGTGACAATTCGCTAACCAATAAAACAACTGGTTTCGGTTTGTAGCGGAAGTGACGTCAGGTCACGTGACATGACAAATTGCCTTAGCGGAAGTGACGTCATGTCACGTGACAAGGGGGCGTGGTCAGGTGCTGTACGGGATATGGTTTGCTTATACGCCCTCCGGGCAGGTGCCCTAACATCTGCACTTTTGATGCTCGCTAAATAAAGGTTTATTCATTCATTCATGTACGGATATCCCTACGGGAATTGAATTGGACCGGTGTTTGTAAACATGATGATCGGGAAAACGTATACACAGAGAATGTATCAGTGAGCTATGAACGACAGAGTATCCACTCTGTTGTTCATAGCCTTCAGAGCAGCAACAGAGACGAGATTATCTTGCTTGCCTCCCTTTTGATGTGCAAAAGCTGGGATGCTGTTCAACTTGGGTGGAAGTTTTGCACCTCTTGAAGATTTTGAAAACGATAGAGTAAATGCATTCTTCGGATGTGGAGACTTTCCCTTTTGTTGGGCCTCACTCTTCTGATAAGAAAAGGGTTGCGTAAAGTCGATCTGGTCCCGTCGAGACCTGTTATAACAAAGTCAGTTATAATGAAATAGCGGCCACAGCGAAGCGATCACAATTTCTCATTCCCTTTTGCACTTCGTTAACTGAAGTCGGTTATAACGAAATAGCGGATATAGCGAAGTGATTTCCGATTCTTGTTGGCATGACCTTACAACTGACGGTTTTCTTTTTCCTACTCGTGTTTGTGCAGACGTGTGCCCAGACATTGTGGCACTGGGCAAGCCCATTGGCAACGGCCACCCCATCGCCGTGGTCGTCACTACTAAAGAGATTGCACGGAGCTTTGAGGCACAGGGTGCCGAGTACTTCAACACGGTAGGTTTTCTTTCTGGTGTCTTTCGAAAGTTAGTTCTGTTTTGTTTTGTTCTCGTGGCTTTTGTAGCTTCTTATCGTTAGCTTAATACAGTATAGACCACTTACAACGTAACCGCTTATACAGTGTAGACCGCATATAACGTATGTCGCGGGAGTCGCGAAAATCCGCACTATAAGCGGTACCGCGCTATAACCAAAACATCAATTTTTCAGGCCAAAATACATGTCATGAGACAACTTACCTTTGTAAAAGAATTTATTTTATGCTAGATGAAAAATAAAGCTTAGTTTGAGAAAAGTCTATTTCACCAGACTAGTACACTTCTCTCTCAAGTGTGTCACATGTTTTAAAAGAAATTAGTGACTTTTGCCTGGCGCAGCCTTTTAACTCTTTCGTTACCACGGGAAAAGTGACCGTTTTTGATAGGTGTCAAATAAAAATTTTTTCTGCAAAATGTGTAATGCGTAAAAATAATTCAAATGCATGAAAACTATGGCAATAGAATGTACTTTCGGAACACGTTTATTTCAATGCAAATATTCAATGTGAGAATTGTGGAAAAAATAAATAAACACAAAAAAAGTCAAAAATTGAGGAAAAAAATATATTGATACAACCATATCTCTTGAACAGAAATATTTAAAAAAAATCTAGAACATACAAAATGTTTCTTATATGCTTATAGACAAGCCACTAATTTTATAAAACCATGCTTCAAAAACTTACAGAACAAGAAAAAAATTTTCTAACACTATATGAAAGGAGGCTATTTTCAGTGCATCCTCGTTAGACATTTTTCACACCACACAAAACATCTTCAAAGTACAATACATTATTTCAAAATATATAATGAGAAATGTACTTTTCAGCGTTATAAGTCTTACCTACAAGTACTTCAGGACAAGCCAAATAAAAAATTGTAGAAACAGAAAGAAAGTATGTATCTGCCATAACTGTTATGACAATCTACTCACATGAAAATGAAATATGTTAGAAAATGCACGCAAAAGCTGCAGAATGCTTTGATTTTTTACAAAAACAACTTGCACAAAGAATGAGCTTCCAAAGTCTAACGCGCTTGATCAGTATGCCACGAAGAAAAGCAATTTCGTGATGTGAAGCACAAGTAAACATCGCAGATGCGGCAGTACATGTTTGTTTTGTGCTCAATCTTGTCGTTCTGGTAGCATCTTTTGCAGTTTCGGCGCATTTCTTTTCTCTCAGGTTTGTGCTGGACATTTGCAGGGGCAGGAGGGGTGTGATCTGGGGCCATATCCTCAATTTCAAAAAGTTGCCGAATCAATTCCATTCTAAAACCGAGCTGATCATAACCAGATCCCCTGGAAAGCTCTGGTGTCCCTGGGTGCTGCAGTCGATGCTCTTGAAACAAAATGTAGCTGTTTACAGCTGCAATGTCAATGGTGTGAAAAAATAAAGTTTTCCACCAACGGACACATTTTTGTAAAACATTGTATGATCCTATCAGCTGGTCTGATTTGTCCACACCAAGCATACTGACGTTGTAGTCGTGCACCAGCATGGGTTTCTTTATGGAAATTTCTTGCCACTTTCCTTCTTTCTTTTCTCTCCGTTTGGCGAGCACATGTTGGTTTGCGGTGTGTATCGTGCTTACCAAATGCACCACTCGACGGTCCTTCCACTGAAGGTACAAAACTCCCTTGTCCCGCAGCCAACGAATTTCTCCTCTCGTAGCCTGCCTTTCCCATGCGGTGCTTTTAATTTCGGAAGGGAATCCGCGTCTATCTTTTCTTGTGGTACCGCAAGCCAAAGTCCTGCGTTCGAGAAGGTGTAGAAACAAGGATGTTGATGTGTAGAAGTTGTCCATGTATACAAAGTAACCTTGGTCAAGGTATTTGCTGCAAAGCTTCGTGACCACGTCGAAGGCTAAACCATTAGAGCTTGGTTTTTCGCGTTTTCCGGTGTACACTATGAACTGAATAGTGTACCCTGTTCTCGGATCCGCCAATACCCACAATTTATAGCCCCATTTCGTAATTTTATCTTTCATGTACTGCCGAATTCCAGACCGAGCCTTCGATTTCACCATTCTCTCATCTACCGAAAGATCGCGGTGTGGCTGAAAAAAATTTGCAGAGCGCTCGTTGATATGATCTAGAAGCCACAACACTTTGCCAAGCTTGGGAGCGGTTGCACTGTTGAGCCATGGGTCTGAGACATGAATCATAGCCAAGATTGATGTGAAACGCCGCCTCGACATGATTTTTGATGGAAGGAGGCCGGAAAGTAAGGGGCTCGTGCTCCAGTACATATGGAGACGCGGCAGCTCCAAGACTCCCATGTAGAGAAGCAAAGCAATGAACTTTACCATCTCCAGTGGCGTCACTTCTCTCCAGGAGCCATCCTTTTCGCCGTACGTTGGTTTTTCCATGATGTGCATCCACGCGTATTTGTTCGTGTTCAGGCAGATCGTCGCTAAAACTTCCACAGTGAAAAAAAGCCGGAAGAAGTCGACAGCTTTCGAGAACCGCTTCGGGCCGCTTCGGAGCGTCAGTCCAAGATCGACGCCCGGAGTCCTACTTGGCCGAAACTCGATTCTTCTTTGAGCTTGGGGAAGTGAATCCCCTCCATATGATGTCGAGACACTGCAGGCAACAGAAATATTATTCATGACATTAGCGCGGCGCGTGAACTGGCTTGAGGAACAAGCAAAGAGGCAATGAGCAGGAAACGAAACTTACGGGCAGTGAGCTGCCGACGTTCCGGGCTGAGGTTCGTCATCGGAGTCAAAATCCGACGATGCAGGATCATCATCAGGGTCACTGCTGCTTGACCCATCGTCAAAATCAGCAATAAATGCAGCGGAATCGCGTAAACGAGGAGTTTTTTGAGCGCGCGTCGTCCCCGAAGTTGACGCCATGCCGCGCGCCAACCGCCAGAAACCTTGAATTCAAGTGCGTTTCGAAATTCGCCGCCTCGCGGGAAAAATTAAAACTACACAGAAAACGAAACTTTAGTGTCTAAGCAACCCACGAGATGGCGCTGCAAGTCCACGGCCGCGCTGGTAGCGCTGAAATAGCGCTTCGCGTCCGTCGATCACCGGTGATCGATGCATATTGCCGTGGTAAGGAAAGAGTTAACGGCGTCGCGGGTTGCGGACGGACGTAGCGAGCGTTCAGGATTGCTAACCCTAATCACTTTTCTCCGGAGACGAAAACGCGTGAAAATTCGCATCCTTCATACGGTACGCGCCAGTAATACCTTTAACTTGAGCACACGCATGAAATGCGCCAAATAAGAAATCCGGGCGATGTTCGAGGACACAAATGCTTAGAAATCACCACTGTAGTCGAAGTAAACAAACACGACGACCCGGGCGTTTCTGCCATCTTGAGAGCGCCGCAACGACATCGTCGCACGAGTAGATGGATCTTCCCGTCTAGTACGTGCTGGGTTATCATAGCGACACACAACGAAAATTCACAGTCAAGGATAGCGCTTTTACGCGATGAGATGAACGCCGTCTACGTCGACGATCACAACCGACGCCATGTTCGCGGATAGAAGCAGCTGCGCCACCGGCATGCAACGCACGCGAACGCTTCTCCTCAACTAACGCAGCGGAGGGACGCACGCACGTGAACGATACGTGCGTGCGTCCCTCCGTCGCTATGGCAACTGAAGTTTCTCTCTTCGCTTCACCCGCTTCTTCCAGCAACCTCCTTGCCCCGCGTGTGCCGCTTGCAGCCTTGCGGCTCGTCTCGCGCCGTCAGCGCCGTTATCTGGTGTCACACAGGGAAGCGTGCTCGCTGCTCCGGTCGTCGGCGCGGTCGGCGGGCTGTGCCAGAAACCGCACTATAACCGGTATTTCCCATCGCGCGCTTGCATTTTAAGCAATATGCAATTACATGGAGTTCTATGGGAGGCGAACCGGTGGTTTAAAAAAACCGCGTTATACCCGGTCCTGCACAATAAGCGGTTACGTTGTAAGTGGTCTATACTGTAGTGCGGGACCGGGTATAACGCGGTTTTTTTAAACCACCGGTTCACCTCCCATAGAACTCCATCTAATTACATACCGCTTAAAATGCAGGCGCGCGAAGGGAAATACCGGTTATAGTGCGGTTTTTGGCACAGCCCGCCGACCGCGCCGACGACCGGAGCAGCGAGCTCGCTTCCCTGTGCGACACTAGATAACGGCGCTGACGGCGCGAGCCGCAAACTGCACTCGCGGGGCAAGGAGCAAGGAGGTTGCTCGAAAACGCGGGGAGATGCGAAGAGAGAGGCTTCAGTTGCCATAGCGATGGAGGGACGCACGCACGAGTCGTTCACGTGCGTGCGTCCCTCCGCTGCGTTGGAAACAAAGAAACAAACAACCGCAACGACAGACCAATCGCAAGTCGAGGAGAAGTGTTCGCGTGCGTTGCATGCCGGTCGTGGGCCGGCTGCTTCTATTCCGCAAACATGGCGTCGGTTGTGATTCTCGTCGTAAACAGCGTGCATCTCATCGTTCTGCGTAAAAGTGCTATCCTTGACTGTGAATTTTCGTTGTGTGTCGCTATGATAACCCACCACGTACTAGAAGGGAAGATCCACCTACTCGTGCGGCGATGTCCTGGCGACGCTCTCAAGACGGCAGAAACGCCCGTGTCGTTGTGTTTGTTTACTTCGACTACAGTGGTGATTTCTAAGCATTTGTGTCCTCGAACATCGCCCGGATTTCTTATTTGGCGCATTTCATGCGTGTGCTCAAGTTCAAGGTATTACTGGCGCGTACCGTATCAAGGATGCGAATTTTCACGCATTTTCATCTCCGGAGAAATGTGATTAGGGTTAGCAATCCTGAACGCTCGCAACGTCCGTCCGCAACCCGCGACGCCGTTAAAAGGCTGCGCCAGGCAAAAGCCGCTAATTCCTTTTAAAATGTGTGACACACTTGAGACATAACTATTGACATAACTATTGAAATAAAGACTTTCCTCAAACTAAGCTTATTTTTTCATCTAACATAAAATAAATTCTTTTACAAAGGTAAGTTGTCTGATGGCATGTATTTTGGCCTGAAAAATTGATGTTTTGGTTATAGTGCGGTACCGCTTATAGTGCGGATTTTCGCGACTCCCGAGACATACGTTATATGCGGTCTACACTGTATGCAGCTTTGAAAATAGTCTAATTGTGGGCAACTACATTTACTTTGATGGTGGTTTTTGCCAGATTGAGCCGATCACTTTTCAAAATGGTTCTGTGTGGGGATGGGGGTGGGCTGTAGGAGCATCTTGGGGACACTAGGAGCTTACACTCTTACGTTTTTGTTTCTGTTGAGGGGGAGCTACAATTGCACCATCTGCTAGATTTGAAATTCAATCTGAGCAGGGATGTTTCATTGAATGCGCAGATGTCGCAGTTCCGCTGCATAATCGCAAAGCAAAAGTCTAGCTTTTTCCCCCACCTGCAGCCTCAAGTGGCAGCCGAAGGAACTACGGCGAAAAGATTACATGACCTCGCTCTGCTCTAAGCTGCAGCATAACGCCCGCTAATGTCAGCAGAGAGAGGGAAAGGAAGCGTCCTCCGAGATAGTATACAGGAACCTACACGGCACTCCGAATGACGTCACTAGGAGGGAGACCAGGTGTGACCCTGAAGGCCAGGATTGAGTTGAGGGGTGCCCGAAATGCCAATATTTATCTTTTTTTTACGCAACAACTAGGACACGCAGGCGAAATCGGTTTTCTTTTCTCGACTGCAGAAGTGTCAGAGGGCAACTTCGAGAAATCTTTCACCGAAGTCCGGAAATCGTTGCACCCCCCCTTTAAGGCTCACAAAGTTTAAGTTTTCACATCTGGTACACTGTTATCCCATCTGCCTAGGCCCCTAACCGCTCATGTTCATCTGCGCTGCTAAGCACAATTGAAATTGCTCCCGTGCTTGTCTAAGTCACAAGCTGAAGTGCAATGAAAACTGATCTGAGCTGCTCCTAGCTCGCTCCAGAGTTTAGGTTTAGCTGCTCCTAACCTGCTCCAAAACAACTGTTTCTGCTGCTCCCAAGTACATTTCATAAGTTCCACCCCTGTATTATCCATAGTATCGATAGTCGCCAGAAATCTGACTATTGATAGTAAAAAAACTTGATAGTACTATTGATAATACTATCAAAGTCAACTGTCGAAAAATTATCGTTAATTGACTATTGGAAAACTATCGATAGTCGACTATCGTAAACCTATCGATAGTACTGTCGTCGGTTTACTATCGATAGTTTTGCAACTCTAGTAGTTTGCATTCGCTCCCTCTTCTTTTTCTGGCTTTATTCTTTCAAATGGGACACCAACTAGCCGAAGCACTTACAATCCCAACTTTAGTTCAGCTTTCAGTGATGACGAAGACGGGAGTTTGGGCGAAAAGAGGAGGAAGGGGAGGCGAGCGGCGATGCGGCAACTGTGTTCATTCTAGTGGTGCAAAACTATCGATAGTACTATCAATAGTCGACTATCGATAGTTCTGCAGCACTATCTATAGTTTTGGAAAAAGTATCGATAGTCAATTTTTCTATAGTTTTGGATCACTATCGGAAGCACACCGCGCTACACTTTTCTGCACCGGTGCAGGAGATGCAAATAAATTGAACGAGCCTACTGCATGTGCTTCTGTTTTTAGGATCTGTACTTAAGTTGCAGTTGGGCTTGCTTGCTTGATGGAGTTGTGCTTACGTTTGATGGAGTTGTGCTTACGTATGCAGAATCCTGAGAAATGAAGGGGGGAGATGGGTCTTCAGAAGGTTGGACTATATGGACAGAAGCTAAAGTTCATACTCTGGTTTAGGGATTATTTCAAATACAGGGGCAGTATTTCAAATACGATAATTTTAAATACATATTTAAAATACTTTGAGTGTTTTGTATTTAATATTTAATTACATATCGGCTAATGCATTTGTCAATTGTATCTCAGCACTATATATAGAGTATTTCAAATTGTTGTATCTCAAATACTGCCCAAACACAATTGTAGGCACTGACCTTTGCAATCAAATGCAATGTCATCACATTATACTCTAAATGATGGGAGTGATATATAAAGTCATATGCATTAGAAACAGCAGAAAAAATGCGAGAGTAAAACAAAAAAACATTCTACTCTTCCATTGATTTTGCAGAGTTGATACAATTCTTGACCTTTTGGTTGGCTTATTTCATATTTTAGATGTCTCATTAACATGTAGTTTGAAAAGGCTTTATTGCTTCAACTGAGACTTTTAGATTAAATTCGTACTCAAAAGTGTTTCCTCAAAAGTGCCTCTCTCACGACAGAAATATTCATTTTAGAGCTGCAGCTACCTTTTAGTGTTTGATTCTTGGTATGTAAAGACTCCACTCTTTATTTAGGCACAGAGTTTTACAGCGATAGCTGTTATCGGCTCTTCCCACCACTGGAAATGACGTCCGTTCTTGATGTTGTAGCTGTTGTAGCTGTTGTTGTTGTCGTTGGCAATGGAGGGCGTCTGTCGTCGTTGTTGCCAAATCCTTGAAAAAGATTGCCCGCCGCATGCAGAAATCGAACCTGGTTCCACTGCATGTGAAGTGAAAGCATTACCACTTGGCTATGCCACAGCGTTAATAACCCGCTCTAAACCTAAAGTTCTTCGTAGTACCCAGCGCCCACTGCACTCACTTTGAAAAAAAGAAAAAAAAAAGAGGAAGCCAAGGGAGTGGAAGAACGACATTCCAGGAGTTTGTGCTGGGAGATGCGCTTTCACGCGCTTTGGAATAAAAAAAACATCATCATTCGAAACGAAAGGAAACAAAAAAAAAAAAAATTCGTTTGGAGCAAAACAAATGTTGATTTTGTTCCAAACTCTTTGTTCACACGCCCCACTACCCCACGGTGCGCGAGTGCGACCCCGATGCCCAACGACTTCGCCGCGACGTGTTGCATCTGTGTCTGTACTGTGGAGTAACACAGGATTGCTCAATTGTTTTTTTGACCCAGGATTTAATTTAGGTCCGAGATGTTGGACTATAGGAACAAAATGTATTTGTAAAAGTATTTGAAGGTGATCAGATATACTCGTTTTATTTGTATCTTCTAGTTACTTTCCTAAAGTGCTATTGAACCTGCAGACCTGCCAACCCTACAATGCTAAAAATACTACAGGGGATTCTAAAAAAACACTACGATTGTGTGAAGAAATATGAAAACTGTTTTATTCTTCAAAACTTAGTCACAAGATGAGATTATGATGGGATAACGCTTGGCATTGTTGCCAACGTCATTGCTTCCGTCAGTTGCGACCGAGAACATGCTTCTTCAACTACCTACTAACATTGCCCATCTCTTATTCAGCCATTCCCTTCACTATCGCAGCTGTCTTGGTTCGAGCACATGCGTAGTTAGTAGATTCCTTTGAACCTGGGAACATTTTCCGAAAGAGGTCTCCGACGTGATCAGGTGCCATGAACGGCATGTTGTGTTAAATCAAAAATGACATAAAAAGGCATTCTGCGCGGGTAGTATTGTGACCCGTTGAGCGGCTAAAGTACCCTCAGAGCTTCTCGTTGGTTTCAACGAGTTTTGCGGGGTCCTTGTGCTTTTTCGTACTGAGATGACACAGACTGTCCCGGCGAGCAGCGTGCGAAATGTTGACATTGCAGCGGCACAGACTACAAAATGCATACTTTTTACCCTTGCGCGACGTCTTGATAAATGGAAAGTCTGTTGAGAAGCTAGGAATGAACGCTTGAAAGTATTTTCTTCCCTGACATCTTGTTGTAGAGGTGGTTTCAAGGGATCATGCGCAAAGGTTCCGGTTCCGGTAAAAGGAGATATTCTAAACATAAAGTTATTTTGGATTTGGATGGATGGGTGGATGTCAGTGGCTGTACTCTTTATAATGAGCGGTAGCTTGTGTTCTCTAGCATACAAGTCAATGTATCAGTGTTGCCAACACCGTATTGCAAACTGGCAAGGTGCAGCTCAAGCAAAAACAATTTTTTACTTTTTTTTTTAGATGGGATCAGAAAAAATATACAAATATTTTTGTCAATATGATAGCCGTAAGAAAGCGTTGGAAAGTGGGCACTTTACAATAAAATCGTAAAACTTGGCGGGTATGAACCTATAATTAAAGACATTTTCGTCAAAGTATTTTATATTTTGGTACATTTTTGGAAGTATTTTGCCCATCCCTGCTCAGGCTGTTGGCATTCCCAGTTTATCCTTTAAGTTATTTCAGTTTATATGCTTGGCCAGTGTTCGCTACTTGCATGTTTTGTGGCGCAGCAAGAGCGGAGGAGTTGTCTGAATCTTTTAACAAGGCTGTTCTCGTTTTTCCCAATGCAGTATGGCGGCAACCCGGTGTCTGTCGCGATTGCCGCTGCGGTCCTGGATGTGATCGAGAATGAAAAGTTACAGCAGCATGCCGAGGATGTTGGGAACTACCTGATCAACTCGCTGAAGGAGCTTCAGCAGAGGCATCAGCTCATAGGAGATGTCAGGCAAGTGGAAATTTTTATGTGTGACATATCTTTTATATGCTGCGCTGGAAGGATAAAAAGGGACGCTTGTCAAGTCCTTCAGTGCCTTTTATTTATTTTTAGTGTAAGCGAGTGACCATTTAGACAAGAAGGATGCCAGGTACTGAAGAAGTTCCCTTGCTTTAGCTTTCCCAAGGCAATCCCCTGTGACCCCTTGAGGTAAATTATTATCCTGGTAAGTTCAGGCAGCGTAATGCTGAATATGAGCTTATTTGAGTTTTGCAACTTGGCACTGAATGTAAGCCGATTCAAGCTCAGCAACTTGCTGTTGCTGCGCTTGACTGTCAGGATTCAGGAAAATTGCTGAAAAGCACTCTCCGTATCCATGAGCATACGCGCTTTGGAAGGGTATTAATATTTCTACATGTGAGATCAATTTTTCCTTCATACTTGCACAGTGTGTTGCTATCTGGGTTCCAAGACGAAGCAAGCGAGCCAACTTTTCCTACTGTTTCTTTTTCTGCAGGGGTCATGGCCTGTTCGTTGGCGTTGAATTGGTTCTTGACCGCAACACGAGAGAGCCTGCAACAGAAGAAGCCAGTCTGCTTTCTCTGAGGTGAGCTTGTACCGACGAAATCCTGCACTTTGCGAACAACTTCACTCTTCCGCACTTGCTCGGCAATCGCTCATATTTTCGTATTTTCAGTGGGTGGCAAGGTGGCAGAGATTAGGAAGCATTGTATTAGAGCAATGCGCAGAAAAGCATCAATGTCGTGTTCGTGCAGTGCTCGTACGAGAAAATAGGTTTAACCTGGAATGGGAAAAGTCCGGGTATGATAATGCCTGGGAGTCTATAAAAATTGCCAAAGTTGAGGGAGACGTCAATCGTAAATTTTGTGCTGCTATATTGCAGCTGCTAGTTGTCATTTTCTTGGGACAGATTAATGAGGGATGTAGTAACGGCTGCCGGAACAGCAATGGGCCACGAGTAGTAACCGTAAAACGTGATTGTAAGTCAATCCCCCCCCCCCCTCACACACACACACAGATTGCATGCCAAAAAGAAAATATTCTGAGGACGTTTAAGCACTTTCTTTGAGTTGTGAATGCAAAAGCATGGATGTTGTTCTTCCGCTCCCTTGGTTCGTCTGCGGTGTGTACTGGCGTGGACGGCCACGTTCGTTTCGCTACTGCCGAGGTTGCCGAGCGCACGCTCTCGTAAAGCAGCGTCGGCTAGGGTTGTGCGAATATTCGAAATTTCGCATAGTAGTTTCGAATAATAGGCTATTTGATATTCGCTTCGAGAAGAACTGCACTATTTGCATTTTTTTAAAGTGTTGATTGCGGTGGGTTAGCCCTGTTGAGTGCGCTTCTCTCCGAGTACCGGTGCACAGCAGAGAAGCAATACTTACGGAAGCGAGCTCCGTGGGTTTTGCTTCTCTGCATTACATCGGTGCTCGGTAAGAAGTGCACTCATCGGGGTAACCCGCCACGATAAACACTAGGAAAAGTCTAAATATCGCAATTGCGTGCTTGGAAGAAAAGCATACATTCAAAGCGGGATGGTGCACACGTGCCGGCTGTATTTGGGAATAAATGGAAACTTTATAAATGTGTATATCTACATTGCAGTAAAACTTCCAAAATTAAACTGACTGTTATGCATGAGTATACTATATTAGGTGGAGATGCCCTTGCAACCTGCGTTCAACATGCGCAATTGTTTTTAACTCGAAATTAAAGAAGGAATATTTTATGTAGCAATATTTGTAAATTCACTCAATTGGGTATAGTTGGCCATCTCTATAGGATTCTTTTGTATGTCAAATCCGTCATTTACTTGCCATCCCAAGACATCAGACCTTATGAAGACACAGTTCTAAAATATAGATAAACTTGGCTTATAAATGAACAAGTGGAACAACCTTCACAAGTTTAGCTGGGTTTTCGTCTAAGCATTACGCAGCGGTAGTGAAAGGCGTGGAAAAGCTATTTGATATTCGAATCGAAAATATTCGGCCAAAACCAGTATTCGCTTCCAATTCACTTCGAACTCAAAATCCACTATTCGCACAAAACTAGCTGCAGCCATTACCCCCTCCTCCCCTCCGGCAATGCCTGACACAAGAGCGGTGCGCACTCGTGAAGCAGCCGCCAATGGCTATCTAAGAGCCGTTTTGCTCAGCTAATGGGAGAATGGGCATTTCTTTTGCGTGTTATTGCAGTTACAGACGCTGTCAACTCCGCTTCATAAAATAGTAAAATAATTATACATTGTATGGCGAACATGGGAGAGCGACAGGGCGCCTGTTTCGAACGCCCGGCCTCCAGCATGCACTCGATGCCAAAGCCTGATCCAACTTGGAAGCTGTTGCTGGAGGCGAGACAACTGAAACTCCTCCCCATAGTTCCCGCTGTCTTTTGTCCATACTGGTGCTGTTGTTCACGTTGTCATCACTGCCATGTTCCCAAAACACAGTGTCAGCGCTGCCCAACAAAATCTCATACTTTTCAAACGACCGCATCTTCTGCACTCTCTCGGCAATCGCGTCGCACGTCATGGGTAGGAATTGATCGTGCACTTCCACGACATACATTGCAAAATCGACCTTCAACTCCAGAAAGCATCCGGACATATTAAAAATTTGGCCCGCGGAAGCCTTTTCGTTTGCCTTTCCAGTGAAACAATCCTGTGCTGTTGCTGATGCCACTGGTGCACCACTTTCTCCATCAGGTCGAACTTGCATCCAGTGACGCAGTCGTTGGTTGCTTTCGGATGAAGAATGGCCGATAACAATTATCGAAAATCTGAACTGCCTGGGCCACGCGTGTCGATACAGAGAAACATAGTCGGCATTCCAGTACAGTTGCACAATCTCGACACTATCAAACGACGTATGACCATGCATTGTGCGAAAACAAGCAGGGGGGGTTCCAATGGCTGTTTCAGTGTAGCTCTTGCATCGAGTGCTGCTACCCCTGGTACCTGGCTGCGTCGCGCAGTGCAGTGTATTGCGCGCCGTTGACCGTCGTGCATTGAGACCAATTTGGGAATCGTGACCACCGTAATCGTAATACTTTTTCGTGCAGATGAAAAAGAAAATAGAACTTGTAAAATGAGCTCATATAATGGCAATATGCTACTGGTACAGCCAGCTGAACTCGTGACAGGCCAAGGTGTTCTTGATATCGCAATCGTTTTGTCTTCGCTGGTGGTGGGATGCTTTGGTTCCGCTTATAAGTCGACCCCCCCTTCCCCCACTCCCCCCCCTCCCCAGTTCAAATTTGAAGAAATTGAAAAAATGGTTTGACTTACAATTGTGTAAATAAGGTACATTGTCCAGACTCCGGGTGATATTGTGGCTGTAGCATGCGTAAAGCTGCAATTATTCGAGAGATTCGTGAAGGCTTGGAGACGTTGTATGTATTTGGAAAGAAAACTTCAAATGTTACTGATATTTTTGCAAAATGTGGAATTGATGTCTGTGAAGTTACGAGGTTTTTCGGCAAAAAGTTGTTGCTGTTCTCCTGCTAACAAGATTGTTGTTGCCGACACTCTGGTTATTCCGTGCATTTATTGCAGCCTTCTTCTCTTTTTTTGGGACATTACAGTAAAACCTCGTTAATTCGGATCTCATGGGACCGGCAAAAATGTCCGAATTATCCGAATGAAATATCGAGAGGACAAAGAAAACTGCGCGAAAACGTTTCCCTGTGACATACCTTTATTTTGAGAAGAAATCTGTTATTACCGCCTGCTTTTTGGACGACACTTGGGCGGAGACGGCCATTTTCCTTAGCGCAGTCGAGTGCTCCACCGCACTCACACTGTCGGAGCTACGCATCCCGTGCGCTGACGATTTCGCACAGCAAGGCCTCTTCTAGTTTTGGGTGCATCAACTTCCACGGCCGCTTTTTTTTTTTTGCGTTGAACTTCTCGCTTTTAAAAGCCCGTAGGATATCGGCCTCAATTTTCACGTACGTGGCCAAACTGCTTCTCTTGTCGTCGTAACTTTCCATCGCTTCTCGAGAGACGCCGTTCTTCAAGGCCCTTAGTATTTCCACTTTCGTCGCTAAATTCTTAGCAACAGAAAACAAGTAGCACAACTGACAAATCATCGGAGCAGCAAAAACACGACACCCGACGCTATTTTTCCCGAGCGCTCTGATAGCGAGAGTGCCAGTCACGTTCCATTTTTCAACGCGGGGGTGGTCGGCGAAAAATTGAGGGCTTTAGGATCCCCGTGTTGAGGCATGAAACATGACGGTCACTCTCGCTATCGGCGCGCTCGGGAACAATAGCCCCACGTGTCGCGATGTTGCCATTCCGGCCGTCGGTCACTTGCGCTACCCTTTTTGCGTTGCAGCCACGGTGGTTGCAGCTATGCTTCTGCCGCTTCCATGCCAGGAGAGTAGTGCGCTGAAGCACGGCAATCCAGAGCAAAACTGGTGCGAAACACGGAGAACCGGAAGAGCGAAGAACCACGGGAAAACCGGAAAAACCATGTGTGCACCTCGGATGGATAGCGGTCACACCCATTGGAACGTATGGTAGCTAGCGCCACCTCCCGAATTCGTCCGCGCTGCTAAGGAGTCCGAAGCCAGAGCCCTCCGGGCCCCAGCGAGCCAGGACGACACACAGCCCGCCCACCTCAAAAACTTTCATTCAAGTCCGCGCATTAGTTTGTCTCGATGTCGTGACTTCACAGAGACCGCGGCGGCTGTTGTGACTTGTGAGAGTCTGTGACCAGTGTTGCCGCTGTAGTGTAGCCGTGTAGCTAAGGTGCCAAAGCGGACGAATGGGTAACTTGGGAGCCAAGCCAGGTCAGACCGTCTGGGGCTACGGGCTAGAGTGCTATGGGCCAAGTGGTGGACACAAATGTTTGGTGGTGTCTCTTTTTCTGTTCTTATTTTTCTTTATTTACGTCATATCAACAATTTTTTTTCTTTTAACGCGCCTGCGACGTTCCTTTCGGAGCGACCGCCCTGATGCAAAAGGGTTTTGGTGCAACTGAAGACTGAATACTGATTAACCATAGGGCGCCGCATTCTCTCTGAATTAATAAGCGTTTGCTGCCATTGACTAATACATGCGTTTGACGGGACCGGATCGGCAGTTCAAATTATCCGAATTTTTGAATTAGTGGGGGTTGAATTAATGAGGTTTTACTGTACTACACATTGTTTCGCCTCAGTGCGGCCTGAGCAGAAATACAACAAACGCAATCTTGGTGCATTTGATCGTGCCTCGGCCGTACGACCACTCGTGTGGCGTGAAGACCGGTTTAAGCGGCCTTCTCGCACTTGTAGTCTTTGCAGTTAGTTTGTGTTATATAAAGTGAGACAGAGTACAGATGGATTTAAGCTGTTTTTCGTGTCTTTATGGAATTCGGGTCCTACGGCTTTCACTTTTCTTAATGTTGGTCCCTTCATTTTGGCAGGCTCAAGGAGCAGCGCGTCTTGCTGAGCACCGAGGGCAGGTACGGCAACGTGCTCAAGTTCAAGCCGCCCATGGTGTTCACCCGAGCCAACGTGGACTCTGTCGTGGAGAAGCTGGACGTTCACCTCAGGAAGATCGAGGAGCAGCTGGGGATGTCGTTCCGCTTTGAAAACATCACCGACGCCCTCACGAGCAGCGTGGAGTCCCTTTCCACTGCGTCTTCGCTCGATTCGCTGGAAGAGAGTTCTGAAGAAGATCTGTCCTCGTCCTCTTAGGAGTTTTGCACGATCTTGCTCGAGGGGTCGGCGGGAGTGGAGACTTTACTACTTAGCTCTCTCCTCTCTCTCTCTCTGCCACCGCCACTTCTCTCGTCTATTCCTCCTAACTTATTTCCGGAGTTTGGATGCAGTTTTCGTCTCGAAGCGTTTCCGAATTGCCATATATATATATATACATATTCTATTTTGGCTGGTATCCAGCCTTGCCTTGAGCAACATTTGTAGAGAAAAGTGTTCTTGAGGTCGAAAGAAGAGAGGTTTTAATGCAAGTTTTTAAACTGAATCATAGTCTTCCATCTCTTTCATCATGTCTCTTTTATATGCAATGCTACTTGTATAGACTGCTGCCATTTTTCTTCGTTTTTCTCTCTTGAAATCTGCAAGTAAAAGAATGACAGCTATTATGTCATTTTGAGACAACTTTGTGTGTCGTTTCTCTCGCGCATTTAGGCACGAATGTGTGATTCACTACAAGCTTTGATAGTAAAGAATTGGGCATGGATGCACCCATAGAATTTTTCGATGAAAACTTTTGTTCACTGGATAACCATACATTTCATATGTAGTTCTATAGCACCTTTTTGTGTATGAGTTTTCCACTTTTTGTGAACTGAAAGCAGCAGTACAGTAAGCAAACAGAAATGTAAATTCTGTCATGTGTCATCCTTGTGCCATAACTCTTTACTATGTTGACTGTGGCATGCATGTTTCCTAAAGATTTGCTTAAGGGGAGACTTGAATCTTTGGACCCAAAAGTTCTATAAAAACTTTCAGCCTTTCCACTCCTCTGGTTGAGAAGGAAGGCGAGCGAAGCTGTATTGGTAAGCGAGACAAAGACGTTTAGTTCTAGTAGGGCCGCGCCAATCACCGACGTGCTCGATTGCACGAACGAGAAGGGTTGGGGGAGGGACGGCACGGAACACAATGGGGCGACTCTCCTCGTCGTACGCGAGTGAGGGTGACGGTGAACCGGCTCGAGTTTTGTGTCGACACGCCGCTTGTCCACGGAGAAGTATTGGCCGGCTGCAAGTCGGCAAGCCGTTTGTCTGGTTGCCGCTGTCTCTCATAGATGGCAGTAGCTGTCTGGAGTTTTGTGTTGACATGCCGCTGCTCTGCGGACACGATAGTGGGGGAACTAGTGATTTTTAAGTCTACAGCTATTTATCTTTTGATCTGCCGAGTTGCTTATTTTAAGATTATTATTCGAGCCGTAACACGACTTCGTAATATCGATGTGTGCTGAAATCACACTGAAGCTGATGCTAAAACACTTTCTCAAAACACAAATCTTGGACTCCTTACAAAATTTCAGGCGGGATATCTCTGCATCTAGGGCAGACAGAAATATAACTTTTTACGCACCATGTAGCTATATGTTCAAAGCATACAATGTTGGAAGTAGATTTTTAACTGACTTATTCTTTTCTTGCTTGGTAGCCACACATTGAGCACCGATCTTCAATGAGTTGTAAAGCCATTAGTAATGGTTCAATCTAAAGATGCTTCCAACATAGTATTCTTCAAAACTTGTAGTGTGTGACCATATGTTAAAGCATTATTTGTTATGAATGGTTTTTCACTATTGTTTTTAGAAACAGTCTGGTTCATTATAATCACCCTGAAAAATGTGAAATTGGCACGAGAGTCTAAACGAGCCTGTACAGTTTTATTGGGCTTGGCTAAAAAATAAGGAAGAAAGCTCCAAGACCAGTGTTTCCCCCCCCCCCCCCCCCCCCTTCCCCAATTCGGAACTTCACAGACTATATGTTTGATTTACTATTTCTCCAAAGTGGTCTTCCGATAAGTGGAACAGTTTTGGGGATATACCTTCTAAAGTCGATCTTCAACAGATGGTCCAGCCAGTCTGGCTCGGGCGCAACATGTTGTGCACGTCTCAACCAAGGAGGTTATAAGACTTACGGAGTGGCGGTCTCCCACACTCTCCCATGCGACCGGGTAAAGCCAGGTTAACCGGTCGGCGGCCATCTAAGGGGCAAAAAAGAGGCGGCGCTGGAAGGGTCGCAAGCAGTGCTCTTTCTTTTTGGGCTGCGTATTGCAAGAAAAACAAAACAATTAAAATTGTTTTGTTTTTCTTATTGTTTAGGGGAAGGCCGCTTAAGACACGTTGGGTTCCTTTTTCTTGTATATCTTATTATAACTTTAAAGTTAGCTTTGAGATATTACAGAAGCATCTAGGCGGAGTGGAAGAACCAAAATATGTTTTCTTAATATGGTTGTAAATATGAGCTCACGTCTTTCATATTTTTTAGCTTGTTTATTTATTTTCAGTACTTACAAAAAACATGATGAGTTCCGCGGATAATCCACCCCATGATAATGAATACATAGCATACCTCTCACGATCGCGAAAATTCGTGCACTTGAATTATCCCCGAAATCGAGAACCCCCACCTCTGCTGGTTTCGATCTGGATGAGCATCGTACCGGCGTGCGGTCCTGTATCACTATACTGCGTGGTGCATGTTAAAGACCCCAGGCTAGCGGTTGTACTGCACTGGCGAAATTGCTCATCTACAGCTTACAGACAATAACTTTAAGGCTGTATAAACATAGCCACAATCAATTAAAAAAAATTATCAAGCCCACGAAAATGGTCATTTATCGTACTTGTTTTGCAGATGTTTGTTATGCTCAAGGGGGAATGCCCCTGGTCCGCAAACAACGCCGCCTTGTCTCATTCTTGATCTAGAGTCTATGCTGAGCTGACTACCAGTGACGAAGGGTGGCCGGTCAGGCACAACTCGCCGAGTTGTCAAGCGTGGTTCTACGCCGTGGAACGGCCCGCTGATTCCGACTTGCGACATCAACCGTCAATAGGTTCGATCAAGGAGACATCTCGCCGAGGTGGCGGTACAGGCAAAATCTCTCGCGCTCCCCGAGCGGTGCCCCTTTTATTAAACCTTCAACAATGTAAACGCGGTACAACCAATCACGACCAGGGTTGTAAAAGTTACTTTAAAAATGTACCTAAGATACAGTTACAGTTAAGGCCCGTTCACACTCTTGCAACCGAGTACGACTGAGAGAGACCAGACCGGTTTTTAAGCTTCTTGCGACCTCTTAGGGCCGGATGCGCTACAGCGGAGCTGGTCCTAAGAGATCGCAAGAGGCTTAAAAACCGGTCTGGTCTCTCTCGGTCGTACTCGGTTGCAAGAGTGTGAACGGACCTTTAAGGCCCGTTCACACTCTTGCGACCGAGTACGACCGAGAGAGATCAGACCGGTTTTTAAGCCTCTTGCGATCTCTTAGGACCAGCTCCGCTGCAGCGCAACCGGTCCTAAGAAGTCACAAAAGGCTTAAAAACCGGTCCGGCCTCTCTCGGTCGTGTTCGGTCGCAATCTCCCGGTCGTGTTCGGTCGCAAGAGTGTGAACGGTCCTTTACTCCTACGAAAAGGTACCTAGGTACGCACCTAGGTACTTGCTTAAAGATGTACCTAGGTACAGGTATACTTTAAAGGTACTGTCTTTATTTATCTTCCCCAAATTTGTAAAAATATATTGGAAGTACAGCTTTTTATACTGAGGGTACACTAAAAAAAGTGAAAGCCGTTTACAACTTCCTGTAACGCCGAATTGGAGCGCAGCTCTTGAGGAGGGGGAGTGGAGGGTATATTCCTCCTCCTCCCTCGTGATCATGCCTGCTAGTCCTCCTCCCCTCCTGCTCCCCCTCCCTCTCCTTTACCACCTCCTCGTCCTTCAAGCTCCTCCCCTCCCCTCGCCTCCGCCTCCTCCTCTCTCCTCCCCCCCTCCTCCCCCCCTCCTCCACCTTCGTACTGCTTTCCTCCTCGCCGCTGAAGTCATGTGACCCCCTCCCCCCGAGGTCACGTGACCCCCCCGAACCAGACAATGAGGGGAGGAGGAGGAGGAGGAGGGCAGAGGTCCGGGGGGTCACGTGACCTCGAGGGGACGGGATCACATGACCTTGGGCGGGCCGTCACGTGACTTCGGCGGGGGGGAGGGGAGTCACCCCCCGGGGTCACGTGACCTGGGCGGGGGAGGAGGGGGGAGGAGGAGGGAGGAGGAGGAGCGGGGGGAGGAGGAGGGGGAGGGGCGACGCCGACGCCGACGCCAACGCCGACGCCAACGCCGACGCCGCACAGGCTGGAAACGGGTCATGTGACCCCCTCCCCCCGAGGTCACGTGACCGGCCCGGACCATACTACACAATGAGGGGAGGAGGAGAAGGAGGGGAAGAGGAGGAGGAGGGGAGGAGGAGGGGGAGGAGGAGAGGGAGGGGCGCGGTTACGCCGACGCCGACGCCGACGGCGACGGCGACGCCGACGGCGACGCCGACGCCGCTCAGGCTGGAAACGGGCCCCTAAGAGCTGCGCTCTAAAACGAGTTCGATAAATGTGCTTTATTGGTGTCACTGCGATGTCTACATAAGTGTTGAGTCCTCACGCGCCTTGTCCCCACGCTCCAATTGGTTCACCAAGGCCAGAGCTTCCACTGTTTACAATGTCACACCGAAACCACCGAAACTCGCGTATTGACGTCCTTTCCCTCAAAGCCCCTGGCTCTGAGGGCAAGAACGTTAATAAGCGAGACGTCGGCCGCATGAAGAGACGCATGAGTCGAGTGTATATGCACCTAACCTTCGCGACGACGAGCGAAAGGCTTCAAGCTTCCTCGCTTTATTTTTTCTTTCTTTAGTCAATTGAAAAAATGAGTTTTTTTTTTTCTTTCGGAACTTTTTTAGTTTTGATAACTGCAAAATTTAAGTCTGATTTATTGAGTGGAAACTGTATTATATATGAAATGTTACATTGCTTTACGATTGTAATTATAATTTATTTCTAATTATATTTTATATTGTGTTTATGGTAGAACAGTGCCACCACCAGGACAATATACGGGCAACAGAAACTGCGCACATCGTTCAAGTTATCTCCTCCCTTGTACGGTAGTCGGAGGAGCTTCAAGCACTCAATGAAGTCGATTTTGGTTTGAGATGAAGGAAGCAGGTCGCTACTTTTCCTAAACGAAGTTCCGAATCGATTAAATAAATTGGTGTCGCTAGAACGGCATCGCTAATTCACCGTTTGCTCAAATGAACACCTACATTCACTAAAGTGTGTCGTTCGATGAAACATCATAGGCGGGGCTTCATTCGCTAAAACGTCGTTCGATCAAGTCAGTGCCTCCAATGCCGTACCCAACTCAATGTTAATCACGGCACATGGTAGTGGGTTAATACTTGAAGATTTATAGTTTCTACCATTTTGACGAAGTGAAAAGAAAAGTACCTGTAAAAAGTAGCTTCACTTAGTTACAAGTTACTGGAATATGTACCTAAAGGCCCGTTCACACTCTTGCGACGGAGTTAGACCGAGAGAGACCAGACCGGTTTTTAAGCCTCTTGCGATCTCTTAGGACCAGCTCCGCTGCAGCGGGTCTGG